TGAAGTCGTCCTGCTTGATTGGTAAAGAGTAGAGGTTTTATGATTTTGTGTGAGAGACAAGCGAATATGAGAGTAGTAGAAATCCTAATTTAAATAAATAATAACTAAGGAATGTTTATAACAATTTAACCAAGTTTTTGCTGAATAAAGAAGGGAAAAAATCGTCCTAAACAACCAGGATTAAACTAAGTTTTACAACAAAATTTGGATATATATCCACTTTCGGGCTTTTGGTTGTTTCTTGGTTCAAACGGAGATATCCAATTTTGAACAAAATTATTGTGCTTCCAATTAAATGTTTTGGTTCGGCTCGAACTAAACCGAGTTATCCAAACACTAAAGGTCTTGATATGTGTAAAAACGTTAACTTACTTTGTTTTAAGATGGAGGTTTCAAAAAGCTTAATAAGATGTTTGTTCTTTTGCTTGCGATCAACTTGTTTGAGATTTGTCAAGTTATTGAAAAAGCAGTTTAATGGAAACAACAGAAAGTTAGTTTAAAACTCTCCAATTCGATTAAACTGTATTCGACCAAAAAGTTAATAGTGGAAAGAAATCATACCCTTTATTGGTTCGGGTCAGACAAAACCGAGCTGGTCCAATTCATACCCTTTTACCGGTCTTCTTAGAAACGTTTCCATTCCAAATTTCCATCAAAACCCTAAAACTCACATTCTTTATCTTTGCACGCATCCATGTGGGAAGTCGAGGAGGTTTGATCAGCTGTGGTAATTAAACTCCATAGTCCATCCCAGTGAGTTCTTCTATAATTTTCCTTGATTTTAGTCATCTTTAGAAATCTCGAAAACCAATAACCTAACGAGCTTTGCATGTGAATATTGATGTTTGGGCTTTTTTTCATCTGATTCAGTTGAGATTTTTTAATATTGTTTCTTTGTAATCGAAGGAGAATTTGGCAATTTAATTGTGTACGAAATCTCTACCAATCCAGATTAGTTGTATGCAAGCTAGTGTGTTGGTATTTTGTATTTCATTCAAAATTGGTTGGTTGTTTTGTAACTTTCAATTTTTATCTTTGTCAAATTTGATGATACATTACAGATTATAGTTTTCTTTTGTTTTTTTGGATAAAGATACAGATTATAGTTGTGAAGAAAGACAAATGGTGGGTAGAAAGAAGAAAACCAAAATATGTGACAAAGAAGATAGGATAAGCCAGTTACCTGAACCTTTGATATCTGAAATACTTTGTCAGCTTTCTACCAAAGATGTTGTTGGAACAAGCGTTTTATCCACAAGATGGAGAAGTCTTTGGCAATGGGTTCCTGAATTGGACTTAGACTCGGATACATTCTCGAATTTCGATGCCTTTGTGAGTTTTGCTGACAGGTTTTTTGATTCAAACAAGGAGTCATGGATACGCAAACTCCGGATAGATATTCCTAATTCTTCTCATAGCAAGTCTTTTCCCACCCGATGGATTGATGCTGTGAGTACACGTAGGATTGAACATCTCGATGTTCATTTTGCCTTTTGTCGGCCAGAAGAATCACCATCCCTGAATATATATGTCTGCCAGACACTGGTACAGTTACAACTCCAAGGGGTCGCCTTGGCTAGTGCCGAGTTTGTTACCTTACCAAGCCTTAAGATCATGCATTTAGAATATATTAGCTATCCCAATGAGTCCACTTTGGAGAAACTTATCTCTGGCTCTCCAGTTTTGGAAGAGTTAACTATTCGCACATGTTTTTTTTTTTATAAGGAAAAGGTTTTACAAGTGCGCTCTCATACGCTAAAGAGAATTCACATAAATGAGTCCAGTACCCAATTTGTGATTGATGCACCTCTACTCCAGTGTTTGAAGGCTGAGGTTATCTTTACAAAGAAATTTCAGATCATCAACTCGGCTTTTCCTGGCAGACTAGATATTGATATCAACTCTACTAGTGAAAGCTTGATTTGCGATATCCTCACCGATATTTCGAGGGTCAGGGATCTAGTTATTAATAGGCGTACTTGGAAGGTATACATCTCAACATTTTGCATATATAAAAACATTATTCCACGAAAGTTTCTCACCTTAATACTGTATTTTTTTATTTTTCTTTGTGTACTTCTGTTACCAGGAAATCTTTGCATACTCGAAATCAGGACCGGTGCCTCAGTTTCGTAACCTATCCCATCTGAATGCTACATTTTATATATATGATCTGGAAACGTTGCAAACCCTTCTCGAGAGCTGCCCCAAGCTAGAATCTCTCGTATTGGTAACGAAGAGCTCTCTACCCTCTGATAAGCTCTTATGTATCTCTCTACTCAATTTTTTTTCTTGTGTTTTTGCAGGAACTGGTTAAGGACCGATTAAGGCGACATAATAACTTAGAAACAAATGTGATTTTTTCAACAGTGCCTCGGTGTTTGGTATCATCCCTCAAGTTTGTGGAATTGAAACGTTCCTTCTCAGGTTATAAAGGAGAAATGGAGCTAGTAAGATACTTCTTGAAGAATTCATCAATCCTGGAGAAGTTTAGGCTTGATACTTACTATACGAAAAAGGCAAAGTGTGCCTTTATTCAAGAACTCCTTACAATGCCTAGATGCTCTAGTGCTTGTGAAATCCATTGTTCTTTAATTACTAAAAAAATTTGTTAAACATTTCGTTTGAGCTAGGTTAAATTTTTGGTTGTTAAATTGGTTGATTTCAGGAGCTTATTAGGCTTTGAGCCATAAGAAAAATATTGGGATATGATGCAGAATGAAGCTAGTAAGGTACTTTAAACTGACTCTACGTTTTGAATAATTGTGCAAATTGAGAAACCCCTGAAAACCCCAAGACTCTATCACATTTCAAGCCGTGGTATGTTTATTGGTAAAGACTAGAGAGAGAACCATGTGCAGCTTAAGCTCTTGCCACACAAGAAATGGCTTTTTGTATGTTCCGTTTGGAATAGAGATGAAACTGTCTGAGGTAGTTTTGTAAGAATTTTTTGTTGTTTTTTAGAATCGTTTGGTTCTTCCCTAGAGAACTATTAGGTTGCGACTCTGTTTTTATTTTGGCTTGTGAAAATTTGAGAGGTTGGTCGTTTATAAACAAGTTAAGCAATGAAGCTAGTAGCTAGTTTTAAGTATTTCATGATTCTAGACTTGTAACAGTTTCTATCCTGAAAATTTCTCACACAAATTGAAGGCTTATCAGTTGTTAATTTTATCGTGGAGGTGGTTTAAAATCAAAAGAGTTATATTTTCCGGTTGCTAGGCCGAATAATTAATCCTATGTGATTTCAGTTTATTGCATTACGTCTGCCAAAACAGAGTTCTTCTTCCTCTTCTCTACTACTACTACCTTGGCGTTTGTTCCTTTTTTTTTTTTTGTATAATCATCTCTTAGTGTTTGTGTTCTTCTAGGGACAGATTGAGTCATCCTGTGTATTGCGTCGATTAGAACCACGAACACTAGGAGCGCCTCGAAGCACACCAAAAAGAATATCTTGAGTAAACCTTGTGTATCATTTTTTTTCTTTTGGAGTGAGATAATACTTTTCAAGATTCTAATGTTGCGAGAAATTAAAGAGAAGAATATATATATATTGGTTTAATGTAAAAATAGAGAGAAGAAAAATTGTGATGATTTTGTTTTAAAAACAGTAAATGTGTGTAGTAGTTTCATAGTTGGGTTGGGTTCGGTTATACAAACTTGTTAGGTGAAACTTGATATTTATCAGCGTATTAATTTTGCGAGAAAGAGAAGAATAATTTTGATGATTTTGTTTTAAAGACAGTAAAAACGTGTAGTAGTTTCATAGTTGGTTTGGCTTCGGTTATACAAACTTGTTAGGTGAAAAATGATATTTATATCAGCGTATTTATTTTGGTTCTTAGTTTCTGAATTTCCATGGCTACTCATGATCTTAAATCAGCTCAAAATGTTAGAGGAATCCTAGCAGTGCAAATTAGAGCAATTAATAAAAACGAAACATGGTAATATAAAAACTTTAATAACAAAGAAAAAGGGTTATATGGGCTAATGGGCTGACTATAACTTAGCCCAATACGCTTAAAATGACTAGAAGATGACACACCTAACTTTCTTCACACTCATCTTCTTGACTTTCTCCGTCTCTCTCTCTCGCTCTCACCGAGGTTCGTCTCTCTTGTTCTTGAAGCATTTCCACCATTTTCGTTCCTTCAATATTTCTTCAGCTACAATCTTGGTTAATCCTATAGCTATTCCTTCAATATTGGAATAGCTATAATTTTATTTGGCGATCTATATATGTCTGAGGTTACGATTCTAGGGTTTATTGTTTGACTGTTTTTTTCGATAAATTGTTGATCATAAGATATCATCGTCTTCAACTATGCAGATTAAGTGGTTCTACAACAATGGTTGATAGCGAGAAACCGAGTACGATTCTTTGTCAGAGATTAGAGGAAGATAGGATAAGCCAGTTACCTGATCCTTTGATCTGTCAGATTCTTTCTCATCTTCTTCCAAAAGAAGCTGTTACCACAAGCGTTTTGTCCACCAGATGGAGGAGTCTCTGGCTTTTGGTTCCTAATTTGGAATTATATTCAAAAGAATTCTCTGATTCCAATGCCTTCGCGAGTTTTGGTGACAAATTTTTTCATTTTGATAGGGTTTCATGCCTAGACAAACTGGAGCTAGCTATTAATGGAAATGAGTATACATCTTTTATCATTTCATGGATTGAGGCTGCAGTTAAGCGTAAGCTCCAACATCTACGTATTAAGTGTAATATGAGGCATTGTATCTTTAAAACTCGTTGAGGCTGTCTTGGGTGATGTCGAGTTTGTTTCCTTCCCTCGTCTGAAGACTATGCATTTAATTTGTGTCTGGGTTTCCAAGGATGCCGCTTTTAACAAACTTGTCTCTTGCTGTCCTGTCTTGGAAGACTTATTAATTTCCGGATGTGCGAATGCTCCTCAACCCTTGCGGGTGCACTCTCGGTCACTGAAAAGGCTCTATATTGGACATTGTTATTATTCTACTCAGGTTGATTCTGTTCCAGGAGTTGTCATTGATGCTCCTCATTTATGCTGTTTGAGTATTCTTGATAGCACATCAAAAAGCTTCATAATAAACAATCTGGAGTACAATGCCAAATTCGACGTTTCTGTCACCTTTTGTTTAAAGGTTTTTGATGAAGCAAGCATTTTATCGAGGAGAGGTCTCATCCGTAGTTTTCTGTCAGGGATCTTGAAGGTTAGGGATTTGACGATATATTGGCAGACTTTCCAGGTATATATATATATTGGACATACACATTTAATATAATGAAAAGTTTCTAACCCACAATACTCTCACTCTCTGCTTTATGAGTATTCGAAATCAGAATCACTGCCTCAGTTTAGTTATAATCACTGAAATTTGAATTGTTTCCCTGTAGGGCCAGAGCGAAGGAGGAGTACAGAGCGAAGAAGAAAGCCAAACTTGGTGAAACCCCGACTGTTGGTGCGTGCTCTGAAAAGTGTGATGGCAGCAAAAGCATTCCGACCGTTAGCAATTCGTGAG